AGTGATCTGAAGTCCTCAAGGTGGGAAGTAGATGGAAAAAGTAATTTCCATTGTGATTTGTATCATTATGAAGAAGCTGAGGATGTACACCTGCGAAAATATGCTTCTATTTCTGAAGATAAAGGTTCCAAGAACATTTCATTAGAGGCTGCTCAGGAGAGCAGAAATTATTCTGCAGTCCTAAAAGAAAAGTATTCATTGCCTGTGAAAAGGGATGACAAAGAATGTAAGAGTCTGTCAGTCAGCTCTACAGAAGCACATTTAGCTGGTATGGGTTTTGATAAAAAATGTGTTACATCTTCTGAGGCAGGAAAAAAATTTCACATCACTAAAACTCCACCTTTTGAGGATATAACTTTTGGCTTTAGCAAAGTAAAGAGAGCTGAAACCATAAGTCAAAAGAACAGTCGTCTTCTGGAATCACTAGAACTACAGAAGATGAAAAATAAAGGCAGTACTTCTGAAGGACCTGTTATTTCATCTGTATTTTCCCTTAGCTCTGGGGCTGAAAACATTCCAGAGGATGTCAGATGGGTTGACAAAACACGCAATAAGAAGTCAGCAACATTGCTGTGTAGAAAGATTGCTCAGCTCATGTCTGAATCTAACATGAAATCCCTGCCTTTGAGATGTCAAGCTTCTCGTAAGAAGGTGCTTTTGCCTCAAGAAAGTTCAGCAAGTTGTGAGAGAGTTGTATGTGCCACTGAAGTGGAACAACCTGTAACTCAAGAGCATGGTGGAAACAGTGTGATTAGTAGCAAAGAACACAGTGAAGATCGGCTATTTACATTTGCAAGAACATCTAAAAACAGGGTGACTAAAAATTCCCATGTTGCTACTCCCGTATTTATCCCCAAAGGGACAATGCTGAGAGTGCTGAATGCTACTAGCAGTCAAAACTCAGATGGAATAGAAAACAGCGGTGAAACGTCAGCTCCTTCTGTGTATTGCAATGAAATGTTTCTGCCTCGCCCGGTCCCTGTTAGTGTTTCTGAGACACTTAGTGATAATTTGCCATGTTTGCCTAATCAGAGTGAACCAAATGCTGAGTCCCGAAGTATATCGCTCAGGCAAAGACCAAAGCGAGAGGCAAGTGTTAAAAATAGTAGCAAACAAACTGGGGTACCATTTCAGAAAAGCAGTGATATGAGCAAGCCAAGCAAGCCCTATTCGAAAAGTCAATTAAGTCCCAAAAATAAGGCAAAACAAGCAAGCTTCAGAGAACTTCCTAAGAGGAAAACAAGAACTCAGTTGGAAACCACTTCAAGTTCTGACATGTCGTACCTGTTGACAGCGAGACGTCTTCGGCTTGTCCCTCTGAAAATGAATCAGTTGATAAAATGCCCTCGTCGTAACCAGCCGGTTGTGGTACTAAACCATCCTGATGTTGATTCACCAGAGATAATTAATGTCATGAAGACTATCAACAAGTATAAAGGTCAAGTCCTGAAAGTAGTTCTGTCAGAAAGGACAAGTAGTTGTCTTGGTGTCAAACGTTATCGAAAGCGTCTTACTCTTCAGAATGTTGAGATAGGAAACCAAACAAAAAAGCAGAGTATGCTAAAAATGAAGCTGAAAAAGACCCATAAAAACAACTACCAGGTGGTGGAAACCTCACCACCGGAAACACTTCGGTGTCTGTTTAAGTGTTGGTTTTGTGGAAGAGTATATATGGACCAAGAAGAATGGATAAGTCACGGACAGAGGCACTTAATAGAGGCAACCAAGGGTTGGGATGTTCTTTCTCTTCAAGCAAAAAACCATTAAGTGAGAGACTAGCGGAGGTTTCCCCTCTTGTTTTTAATGAGTGCCACTAACATGCTCGGGCTGGAGGATTGAAATAACTGCTTTATTTTGCCAAAAGATCTCTGCTGTTAGCAAAGTGGAAGAAGAGAGCAGAATTAGAGAGAGAGAGAGAGAGAGAGAGAGAGAAGCCGATAGCAAGGATTAAGCACTGCTTTGCACTCTCATGCTTGAAATTTGTATTGGAGTTCAATTTCATCTGTTCCACGGGAGAAATTTGAAAAAGATTTGCTATGCAAACATCTTTCTACTTACCCTAGGATACTGTGCTGTAACTGGTTTGTGCTAGGTCTCTGTGGATTAAAGTCTTAGATGGTGAGATCTTTGTAAATTTCCCAAATCTTCGTTGGCGAAGCCTAGCCATGATAATAGGATTTAGTTTGCTTTATTACGGCATGGTGTGTCAGAGATCGAGCACATGTATACTGAAAAGCACCTTTGGTCCTCCGTGGACAGCAAGTGTATATCATAGGTTTTAGTGGCAAACTAAGCACTATCCATAAAAAGTAAAAGTTAAATGCAAGTGCTCTGTTTCAGTGGAGTAAAAACACTTCTGCTGACTTCAGAGGAGATACAAGGGTGTAAGTGAAAAATCTGTGGAATCAGTTACTCTCCACTAGGTCAGATAGCACTAATAAGTTTAATTTTGTTTAGTACTTAGACTTTACTTAGCCTGTATTGTGTAGATGTGAAAGAACAGAGCAGTCAGGTGTCTGTACCATAAAGTCAGATATACAATCAGGCTTGAGTTGATAGGAACAAGAAGCACTTCTCTATGGCCTGTAGGCTGTTCTGAAATAGTAATAGCCAAACATAAACCCTCTGCCACCATGTGTGTGATAGAATATTTACAGAACTCAGCATTTGGTTAGAACTCTAGTTAGTGAGCTTATTTACAGAGGAACTTGCTGAAGATGAAGACTTTTCAAAATGAAAAGCCACGTTGCACAGTTTTATTTTGACAGTGTTGAATCAGATTTTCAGTGCAATCTTTCATCATTCTTAAGAATTTAGATGTTAGAATATATTTTTTGTAAGCCTCAAATTCATACAAGCATGTGCCTAGTTATAGATTATGTCTAACATGTACCCACTGACTTCAGTGCAGTGTGAACATTACTCAGTTTCTTAAACAAATTTCTAAATCAGGGCCAAATTTCAAGTTTTAGTGAAGAAGAGGGAAGAATGACACTGAAGTCTACTGTTTCTGGACGTGTACTATAGATGTTTCTCTTCATCTTGTCAATTTTAAATAATTTTAGAATCATATAGAATGAAATATATTGAAGCACATACAATTAAAATAACTTCTTACAGTTTTAGGGATAAGAAAATCAATACTGACTCTAATGCTGGATGTGTGTTCTATGTTTGAGCTGGGACTTCTCTTGAAAAACTGGTAGTCCCTGACTGTTGGTGCATTTTTGTAAACAGTTTAAGCTGGGAATATTTTTTATATACTCCAGCAGATTATACATTGTTTTGATAAAGTATTTGTCATGTCTGCATTGAAGTGTAAATATTTTAAAACTACATTTGACTGAGGTTTATTTTCAAAACCACTTATTGCTTTCCCATAATTTTGCAATACAGTGTTAAAATCCTTCAGACAGTTGGTGCTTTAAGTCAGGTCTTTTTTGTCATGTACACATTGAAAATTTTTGTATCATTTGTATCAGACTAACCTATTCCACAGAACAAACTTCGTTTTGCCTGTTTTGTCAATAATAAGGAAATGACAGTTCTCATTTTGTATTCAAATGGAATTATATTTTTTTAGATGGGTACACTAGAGGGTTTTTTTTTCACTTCATATATTTTGATGCCAAACCTAACAGTGCTCTTTGCATTTTCAATAGTGAGAATAGTTTCCGTTTTAAAATTCTGGCATATCATGTACAATAAATACTGAAATGGTTAACATAAAAAAACCCACAAACTCCTTCAGTCCAGGTTACTGTTTGAATTAATTTTGTTTCTGTAGAAGCTACTAAATAAATAGTTTTGAATTTGCTTTGTAAGAGTTGTCACTGGCGAAATTAAAACATTGCTTGTGAAAGTTGTACTGGGGAGGGGTGGGGAGGTGTTGCTGCTCAGCTTTAAAAGCTCTGGGTGGATTAAGTATACTAGTAATGCTTGTCTTCGTCTGTAAGCAAGTTTACTGTTTACTTGAGTAAAAATCTGCAAAACTTGATATGTCACTGCCATAACCTGCTATCTGAATTGTTGAGATGTGGGGGTTTTATGGTTCTTAATTTAGAATTTTGTTTTGTTTTGTTTTTTAACATGGAAGTCTTTTGTAAGTTAAATTGTATTGTGGCTATGAAATCCTTAAAGCAGGTTACATCATGCTTCTTTTTCTTTTTATGAGCTCTGCTAAACTCTACTTTTAGCAGCTTCTGTTTTGTTAATTTTATTCTTATTAGAAAATGTTATGTCGGAGTAATTTCCTTTGAGTTTAACAGGTTCATCAGTTTGAGAGAAATAATTACAGTGAATGTTCTCTTGCATTTTGATGCAGCATCGAGAAATAAAAATGTTTCAAAAAAATAACAACCTAAATTTTTTTAGAGCTGGTTTGTGCCACCTACTACGTCATAAATTGGGTTGGAATGTTGTGGTTTTGGGCTTGAGTGTTTTTATTCTTGTTCCTATTCTTAAGGATAAAGTAACTGAGGTTACTTTTTTGTATATTCCAATTACCTAGCCAAACTTTCTGAGTGTGCTTAGAAAGGAAGACTATGGATGCTATGCAGAAAAAAATCTGAAGTTTGCCTTTCATATACATATGGAATTTAGTTAGGGCTTCCAAAACTCAGATTGTATGAATAAGTATTACGCTATTTTTTTTCTGGAAAAAAATCACATTCTCATGTTCTTTGATACACACTGGAGCATGTTTTCTTGCTGAGTTTGAAGCACATCTACTGTTCCTATTGATTTTTATCTCTATATTTGCACATAGTATGAATCCAAAGTGACTGTTTGCGTAATTGTTCTACTTATGTAGGTGTTTGAAGGCTCAGGGATGGAATACAAGTATCTGCTACGCAAGTTAAAGAGTAAGTGTTAGCTGTAATTGTGTAAATTCTATTACATAACCATCTTTATAATCTGCTCCAATACCTATGAGCAGCAGCTAACACTCACTGCCTTCAGTGCTGGCTGAGCACAGCTTGTTGTTGAGCAAACATACGCACACCACGTGAAACTGTTAGACAGTGAGAGCTCTGGCACATAGCATTTCATGTGTATTTTTAAAAGCAAGAATATTTTTTTTTTATATGACTGTGATATGCTTTATTAGCTTTTGCTACCTAGTGGAGTTTCCATGACATTTAGGTGAACAAGGGTGAGTTTGGTTTCCATCTTATGGTAGAAGGTAAAGTGCAAGATAAGCAAATTGGTCCGTCGTTGTCAGGATACCGGGAGTCGGTTTCAGCACTTCTCTGTGAATTAATACGTTGACATACACTTTACCTGTATCCTCAAAGTTAGATTGCAACAATCAAAAAATGGAGTAGATCTGCAGAATGTTACATATTGTGGGGAGCTCCTCGCTCAAAAGGCTAATCTGATTTTTGAGACATTTAAATAACTGTTCTGTTTACATCTGTACAAATGAATCTGCGAGGTTAAGGCAGAAAACATCTGCGTGACTTGAATGGATGTGTGAGGTAGCATTGTTCTCTGTGAGTTCCTGACTGATCCTTTCCGTCAATGAGTTTTATGGGAACGTGTTTGTAGAATTCAATGATCTCTTCCACGGAATTAAATTTCTGGGGGGGAAAAAAATAGTAATCAGTGACTGAAAATACAATTGCTGTATGGTTTAATCTGTAATATTAAAAGACAGTTAATTGACAGTATTAAAAATAGGTAGTATTTTGCATAGAATTATGATTAGATGGAAGTGATTATAAAAGGAAAAGTACCATATTTTGATCCTCTTATTTCCTTTGTGTGTCTCTGTCTCGTGTAGGAGAAAGTAGCTGGCTGCTTAGGGCAAAAAGGGAGCATATCTAAGCTCTAATAATGCAGTATCAGCTATAAAGGTTTGTGATGCCAGGTGTGATGACAGATATTGAAATGACAAAATAACTATAAATCATCACTAATTTTTGCTGGCAAAAGTTGCACTTAATTAGCAGTACATGATACTTTACGCTGCAAGTTTCATTATTAAATGTAACCTTTTCCCCCCCATTCAGTTTCTTGTGAAAGTTGCTGTAAAAGTGTGGAACAAGGAGCATCCCAGCAGAGTAGTAGTCTTGTTCTCTTGTGCTCAAAACAAAGACAACCTCCAAGCACATTCCTAAAGTGATAAAGGTGTGGTTCAAGATTGCTGACTTGATTAAACAGCAACAAAAAGCTATCCAAGGTGTCTATCCTCATCTGTCCTAGTGAAGGCATCTTAATCCTCCCAATCCACTGGTTAGCAGTCCTTCAGTTTAAGTAGTTCTCTTCCCTATGTGTAACTTCTAAGCTCTCATCACACCACAAAGCTCTCACCATATTACTGTTTTTCCTCTTGGTCTATTCTTTGGACTCATTGGTATTAAATCACTAGAACTGCACACAGTAATGCAAGCTTACTTTGACATTAATACTTATCATGTATTTATGTAACATTTACTGTGAGTGTGAACCTTCATTGTACACCTGGTGGTATCTTGTCATAGCTTCTCTCATCCCCACCTGTTTCACACCTAGATTATAACAACAGAATCTGAATATATATGTGATTTGGTGAAATTGTTTCTGTATTAAGATGAAAGCCATTGTGCTAATTTTTTTAGGGTTTTTTTGATAATTTTTACTTGTATGCATTTGTTCTACTTTGCTGTCTTGTCTTTGTTTATGTTCAAAGTCCCTGTTGCTACTGAAAATCCAGGCAAAAACTGTGGTTTGTATTTCATACCATAACAAAGTAGCCCTTACTTTTTTTATTCTAAACATTTTATGAACACCAATTCTTTTCCTGCTTTCTAATGCTTTTTTGTTGGTTGGGAGGTTAAAAAGTCTTACTGTAATTGTTCACCTGCTTTGGAAATTTAACTAGGCTAATGTCACGTTATTCATTGCTGTACCTTTAAGCTGTAGTTCTTTGGTAATGAGGAAAAATGTTTCAGATGTTACATAGGTATTTTTTTCTATTTTATTTCACGCTCTACTCTTATTTGAATTAATGAATTTTAATATATTAAGCTCTGAGTCTCTTTATGTCTGCTAGAACATGAAGTTGACTTAGACACTATAGTGATGAGGTCTAGAATTTTGTCCTCAGATCTTTTAATGGAACTCCCCCCCACACTTCGTTAGGTGTAAAGACACCTAAAGACATAGAGATGAAGAAAACTCAGTACTTGATTTGTTTCCCTTCACTGTGTGAAGAAACTCAAGCAATCTCTACTGTCATAGGAATGTCTATCTGCTGGTCTCCAGACTGTTCTGGAGAGATGGGAATAGGGTCTCAAGGATTGCTCATGAAAGATATAGTTTTGAATTGTGTTGGGGTGGTGGCAGGACTCTGGGCTCTGTCACACATCCTGAATGAGACTGTTCATCCTTGAGCTGTCATTTAAGCTGTGGACAAGATGTTTACCTTGTAAATATCTTTCTCATTTGGAAGTATTGGCTGTTTGCTGTGCTTGTTCTTTTGGCAGTAACTTTTGACAAAACACTGTCAGTGGAAGGCATCATGGAAGTGCTCCCTAATCTACTCAGATGAGGCAGGCCAGTTTGATGGCTGGTGAAGGTAGGTGGAACTAATCCATTTGACTCACATGGAAATAAACTGACTGAAATGATGTAGCTGGTATGACTGATAGTTTGGAGATGAAAGTTAGCTGCAAATGGAGTGGTGAGAATGGAGAAAATATCTCTGGCCAGAACAGGGAGATCCAGAGATCTACACCAGGCCATGCACTAAGCTTCTTTGTAAAATAGGCACGGAGTTGAAGAGAAGCCTACTTCTGCCTTTGAATTTTAGTTACTGAATTGGGAGTTGAGCCTGGTGCTGCAGACACACTAAACCCCTGTATTTTGTGTGTGGCAGATCTAGTTTTGCAAAGGAGATAAGAAAAATATTTAAATTTTGTGTCATTATCATCTTTATATGTGAGCAAGGTTTGTATTTTTTCATCTTCAAAAGAGTTGTGCACATGAAAAGAGGCAGTATTACAGGATCTCTGAATCTTTACTAGTGAAACTGTCTGGCATAGAGAAAGGCAATATCCAAGTAAATGGTGCTCAGGACAACTGTTTTGAATGTAAATGCCTAAATTCTATGTATGCCTCATTTGGGGATCTGATCTTTATAGCTTTATATGATTTGGCCTTTAGTAAGCTCAGTATAATATATTAAATATGTATTTAGGTGTGAACATCTGTGGCTAAATTGCTAGCAAAAGATGTACCTTCACCAAGAGAGTTAGTGGTGGATTGTTCCCCCCCCCATTCCCGACTTGTATTCATTATATTAGAATTTGATACTAATTTAGCTGCATGGAACTTCAGTTACTTCAAACATAAAAATCTGATCATCAACCCCTCTTCCCCCCCTCTTCAAGGCCTTATAGGGCTACATCAGAGCTAATGATAGAAGTACTCATGAGAGTTGAATTAAATAAGTTTTAAAAGTAATTGTTAATTGAAAATCTTATTCGATGATACAATGCGTTAACAACTTGTAAACGGTATGTGAAAAATCAAAAGTTGCAGTAGTATAGGGAAAACTTTGAACAATTATATTTACATATAAAAAAAGCATCTTTTTAATGGATGAAAATAGACTAATTTGAAAGTGAAAACACACTGCAGAAAATCTATTAAGACTGAACCTCTGAACAAAATCACCAACTGGGGAGAAATGTAGTAGGTCTGCACCTGTTTGCTGGTGTTCAGATTTCTTTCTCTTTGGCAGGTGAAGAGGGAATATTCAGCTAATCTAGATAGAGCAGCTGGTCTGGCTGCACTGTGCTGTGCAAAATGTGGTGTCCACAGGGTATCCCTGCACAAAATGTGGTGTGCAAAGGGTATCCCTGCTGAGGGACAATGCAGAGTGCTCTGGAAAGCATTTTAACAGGCACTGGAAAATTACAGGCAGCAATTTGCTGTAATTCACAGCCCTACAAAGTGTTTTCACCCTCCTGAGAAAAGAACCTCAGACGAGCTGCAGAAGTTGAGATGAGAGTTTTCAAGAAAGAGCATTTTTAGGGAATCCCTTGAGACTGCCTGAAATGGAAGAAGCTCTTCTGAGCAATGTTGGTGCCACTGATTGTTCATTACTGCCCATGTGCCTTGTACCCAGTTCTGTTTTCACGTCTTGCTGCTGAGCATAATACACAGGAGTAGGAGATTGCCATGTCTGTGATTCTTTGGTACAACACTTAATTAACTGACTAGCAATGCGATTCTGGAATTTTTCTGTTGTACTTGAAGTACAGGAGGATTTCTGAGTTAAAGAGAAACAATACTTAAAAAAGAAGGCTTAAGGTAAGGTGCCGTGATTATGGATTTGACCTGGTAGAGCCAAGTCTTGATTGTTAGATAGGTGCTTGGAATCCTTATTCTGGAATTGTTACTTTCCAATTTGACTGTTTTCATTCCAGACCCACTCTTAAGATATGTTCTGTCTGTGCAGAAGTTGGAACAAACAACAAAGACATATATTTTGGTATTTCCTGAGATGGGAGGGATTGTGTTCTCCTTCCTTTTAGTTCAGTAAAAATTGTTCATGTACTGTTCAAGTAATTTTCTAGTTGCCTTAATTGTTAAAGCTGTTAACATAATGAAAATTTAGCTTTATGTCTTTATTCTGTAGTCTACCATACACAAACTACCTTATGCTGCAGTGTGCCATATTTCAGTTGTTGTTTCTGATCTGAGCCAGGAAGATTAAACAATGTAAGAACCATGGAAAACTAAACTTGCTTTCTCCTAAATCATACTTAAACTCCAGGAAATCTTCTGTGAGGTACAGTTCAGAAATGCAGTCAGTCCTTTACAGAAGGCTGATGGTCACTACAGCAGCACCAGGACGATGGTACCTGCAGTGCAATTCTCGATTTGTGCTACAGTTCAGCTTCCCAAAGTGTTTAAATGTGCTTGAATAATGAAGGATTTTCTCTTGCCCCTCATCATTAAACCAATGTTCCTGAAGAACAACCTGCCAGTAAACCTTGTCCCTCTTGTGAAAGCTCATAAATCCTATCCCATGTTTTCTAATAAGAATTCTAATATAAATTCTGAACCTGTCAAATGGTTGAAGTTGGCTTCGGTCACTTGTGACTTCAGGTTTTTTTAAGTCTCTCTCTCTATGCAAAAGGTAAGTTTTGAGAAGTATTGACGTGCATGGAAAGGGCATAATTGAAGATTTAGCTACAGAGGCTTTGCTGCTTAACCTGAGTTAGATTTGTTAGTCATTTACATAGCTGATAACACATAGGAGGTTGTTGCTTTGCTTTTTTGCTCTGCAGCTGAGCATTCTTGAAGTTTTAGGATTTTTTTTTTTTTTTGCACATATCACATTTTTATAGAGATGACTTTCAGGTTTAATGTTTTATTTTTTCTTTTGTTAAAGACTTGCAGATACAGTGTTACTTAACAATATAGGTGGAATAGGAATTAGACTCCTATCATGACTATAATTGAATTGAATTATGTGAAAAAGCATTGCTAATCTAAAGGGATTTTCTAATTGAAATTTAGCATGTCTGAAAGACTGATTGCTGGGGACCCACATGATTTAATTGCTTCTGAATATCCATGACAACTGCCTCATTAAAAAAAAAATTCTCCTTTTGCTGTATGAGGCACAGACAACAAGAGACATAAAACAGCAAAAGCAGCACCAGGCCCTGCTGTCAGATATGTGAGGTTGTATGTATTTGAAAATGTTTGCTTATATTATCACAAGTTTAAAAATGTGCTAAAATAATATGTATACTTGAAAAGGTAGAACTTTTCTTTTCCTTTTACTTTGCAGTTGTTACTTACAGTAGATAGAAGTATTGTAAGTACTTAGGAAAGTTTTACATTGATGTAAATCTGAATTTGAGTATGATATGTAAAATTTGGTTTTAAATTATTATGTAAGCTGCTTGAAAATTTGAGGCATTTGAAATGAGAGTATTGTAAAAGAAGCTAATGAAACAGCAAGTTCATTATGTGGGAGAGTTTGTAACTAATATTTAGTATTAAGAACTTGTGAAGTGCAACATAAAAGCTATAGACTGTAACAGCAGATGGGATTTTACTTACACCATCTCCTCTGAGACCTGTTCCCAGTGCATATTGTTGGCTTTCTTCCAGAAAACGTACTTTAATGTTGTATACTCTTCTTCCATAATAAACAACCAAAACATATGGTTCAGCCTTTGATTTCTTTGAACAATCTCTAACCAAGAATGTCTCATCCTGTATGATACAGATTTAAATTACAGATTGTATGGTTAGTTCACAACAAGACTTGTAAGCCATTGTGGACAATTTACAGAAATTTTCCCTCAAGAGTTTATACCCCAGGTTTTGAGATAAATGGTACTTACAATGCTTTCCTGTAGCAGTGCCTTCTCTGCTTCATGGCGATCGTATTCTCCAACGTACCATTCACATTTGTTTAAATCCTTAATTTTAAGATATCGTAATCAGTGTATAGAAATTAACAACAGCTGGCAGAAGCAAAGCCAGTGAAAACAGATTGTATCTAATCTGCATTTAAAGCACATTCAGCATAGTATATAAAAGTATATGCATATATCCATATATATCTATATATGTATAGAGATGTAGATATATAGTCCTGTTAGGAAATGTTAGTCAAATTAGACATTCAAATTCTTATCTATGGTTTCAAGAGCTCATATTGGATTGTTTTGAAGAGTGCTGAATAACCACAGCTTTCAGAGGGGGTGGTGGCGTGGTGCCCTATAGCGTTAATCCTGTTTCCTAAAAACTTGCGTTTTTATGAAGCAAAGCTGATCTTTACCTCTTCAGTGGGTTGGGTAAGAAATTGCATTTCCTGTTCTACAAGTGAATATTTTGATTTACTTTTGCATACTGTGTATGCTGTAGGAGATGGTGACCTCTTCACTGTCAAGTTCTCTACATTTAGCATGGAACCTGTAAAAGTAAATTCAGAAGGAAAAGAGTTGTATTCTTTAAATTAAACTCATAGTTTCATTTTACACAATGTTTTACTGAGTAAGTCTGAGAATAGCACTTTTAGTTTAGAACTATTGTGACATTAACCTTTAAAATTCAGAGCTGTCAGTTAGGAGTGGTCTTGTGCTAATGCAGCATCAGTGATTTCAGACTTTTCTGTGATGTCCCCAGAGATTTAACACAGTTTCCTGATGGTTTTTAATTCACTTCAATCTGCCAGTGCACAATACCAAAATAATAAACTTAATAAAATAGCAAATGCTAAATAAAATACTGAATGCGGGACAAGGGTAATGGTTCATTCTGTTCTGTTTTCACCTTTTGAACCCCCTTTATTTGCTTTGGGTCCCAGTTGCTGTTATGTTGGATCATGTTATATCCCCTCATTATCCATTGCCAGCCAGCATTGTTTCTGCCGAGCTGTTGAAACCTTGACGGATTCAGAGGTTCTGCCATGTTGATGAATTTCAATCTGCTCTGTGACTTGTTTCAATTAACAAATTCAGGACCAAGGGGTGAGGTTGCTCTTGCATTAAGATGAAGGTGATGGTCCTTGGCTGTGTGCACCTGCTCCATACTGGGCCATTGATGAAGAGAGCTTGCTCCTTCCAGGGCAAATGTGATTTGCTGTCTGTAGATTTAGGGCTGCTGTTTAACAGACAGACCCAGTTCCCCAAGTCTCTGGGGAGCTGTGCAAGCACAGGGGATGGGGCAGGAACACAAAGCATGGGGTAATGTGAGAGGCTTGGGTTAACTCTGATCAGGATGCAGCAGAAAGAGCCTGAGAAAAGCAAGGACTTCCTTTCAATTTGAAGATCAAATATAGTTTGCAGGTACGTGATACGGGGAAAAATTGTAAATTGAAGATGAAAAGAATCATATCCTGCTATACAACAGAAAACATTTTTGTTTGTTTCATGCAGTGCTGGTGGGAGAAATGACCTAGTGTCTATTGTAAGAGTAAATGAGAAGAATGTGGTTACCAATGGCTTCCATCTTTTCCTTCTGGTTGCTGTCACCTGAGACAGTATTGTTTGCCAGAGCAGTATTTCATTGTGCTTTATCTGTTCAAGCTTTATCAGTTTATTATTCTTCTGCTCATATGCAGCATATGATAGAATATTAAATTTTACTTGGAAGACTTTCTTTTACAGAGGAGTAATAGTTTTCACTGTGTTTCACTGTTCCATTCGTACATGTACCAAGTTGTGATTTATAATAGCATTATATTTGTTTTTAAAACAACATCCACTGATAGCAGTAGTCAAACAGTCGTGATCTTCAGCAGGCAATCAGTCTATTCAGCAATTAAATCACTGTTCAAAATAAACAGTGGGACCAGATAGCTACCTTTTGTTTCTGTAATCAGTTTGAGTTGTCAAAATGTGAAATATTGTTACTGTTCAACTGATTGCATCATGATTTTTGCATTTTTGTTTGCATTGTATTTTTAGTGGCTATCCCCAGCTTTGTGACCTGTGCTGTGTATGTTTTAAAGATTTTTTTTTTTTCTGCTGCATCTTAGACTGTGGGACAAGACATGTAGAATTCTATTGTAATGCTCATGTACTGAGTTTGGCTGGGATGGAGCTAACAACAGCTTGTCAAGAAATTGTAGAAGAATGTTTTAGATTTTTGCACAGAAAATAATTTGTTTTTAATAATAAAAGCTAAAACTTCCAGAGAGAGAAATATAAAATCATTTAGCTTGGAAAAGACCTTTAAGATCGTCAAGTCCAACCATGAGCCTAACACTCATGTTCTTATATAGGAGTAAAAAAAAGTATAAATTTAGTATAAATGTAATAAAATTAAGTCTTGAAATATTTTTTAATACAAATATGGACATAAAAGACAATTGTAGGGTACCAGAGGGAAAGGCTACTTGTACTCTCCCTGTTACTTCAGGAGAGCAAGGCAGTGACAGAGAGAAAAAGATACTGTGCTGTTCCAGAGAGCTCCCAAAGAGCCCTGGTAGTGATGGTAGGAAGTGTCTGAAGTGGCAGCAGCAAACAGAGATCTAAATGAGCTTTGTGAATTATGTAAAGAATGACTTTTAGTAAGTATCCAGAGGAGAATGTGTGCGATTGCACCCCTAGCACAAGAAGGAAGCAGCTCAGTGGAGGGAGCTCACCAGAATCTGGGAGCTGGGACCTGTGAAACAGAGCTGGGGGAGGTGGGCTTGTTTAGCCTGGCAGTGACCAAAGTTAAGTTGAATTCTACTTGATCTGAACAAATAATACCGTTCATATGTTCTTCCTGATGGTATTTGCTTTTACCATAAGTTCACATTATGGAGTTCATAGGTTCCTGGCACAGCTTAGAGGTTTGGTTTTTTGATAGAAAATGGTATTTGCAGAGGCAGTTACAGGAGAGTTAAAGTATGCTATGTAATCAAGGACAGCAGGAAGTCACCAGCATGGATGATTCTTATAGATCCTCAGTCCCCAAAACCCCTGGGTCTTCCAAGTCATGAACTCTGTTTTTGTGGAATGGAGATACAGCATGAGCTAACTTGGCTGAATGACATTCAAAAAATCAGAAAGACCAAGGTCATGTTATTTCTAAGTATTCCATGTAAGGTACAGATACACCTCTTTACTAACCAATCTGTTTGTGAAAGATAAATATATGGAAGTTCCTTTGTAGCATTTTTTATGCTGTTCTGCAAAAAGAAATAATATTTACAAAACAGAATAAGTGTTTCTTGTGCTTTCACAAATTCATAATCAAATGTGCCTTGCTCTTCGAAAGTATGTAAGTACATGCTGAGTTGTTTTTTTTGTCTCTTTTGGGTTTATGAAAGTACTTTTTAAAGCAGGTGTAGGTATATTAAAAGATAGGGATGAGCCACATAGCAATTTTGGGTTAAATACTAATGAGACCATATTTTTCTAAAATTAGGTAGAGAGGTTAGTGAATAACAGATACAATATGATATGACAGCAAAAAACTAACACAAGTGTTTGTAGAAGTATTGTCTTCAAGGTTAGAGAGATTTTGCTTATGAATCTAGTGAAACTACTCCTGTGCACTGGATTCACTTCTGACAGTCTTAAGAAGTCCAGGGAAAATGAGCAGAGAGACATGGCCTTGGTTCCTGGGGAAGTCATACCACAGGCAGTTTCTTGGCAGAGCACCCCAGCAATCAATGTTAATGTTGGCTTCCAGTATGTTCCCTTAGGTAAAGCCACAGAGTCCAGGGGAAGTCCTATTTCCAACCATAATTTGATAGACCTGCCTGATAATGGCACTTACATGTCCTTGCCTTTAGGAATCTGGGATAAATCTAAAGCAATTTCTTCAGAGAGTGGTTTATTTGTTTACACAAAAGCATTTACCCCATAGTAGCTGATCTATGATGTCCCAAACATCTCTAGCTTCCATTTAGCCCAGCTGATTGCATCTCTGCCTGGAAAAGCAGAGAAGGTTGTGCTCACAGCATACCCTTTCTTTGTACTCCCAAGCAATTTGTGTTCTCTTCCTCTCTCCATTGTCCTCCAAATCCCTCTCCTGTTCTGGGTGTGGGGGTCTGCAATGGTTTAACACTTGCAGTGTAGGTTGGGTATTTCTTTGCTTAAACCAGGCATAGGGTAATAGCAAGTAACTGCTTGTTTCTGTGCTGCTATTGACTGTGCCATTGTTTTATTTGTTGTCTGCTTCCTTTATTTAATAATCCCTTTGCACTAACTCAGTGCTTTGAAAATCCTCAGTGCAGATATACATGCATAGCAACCAAAATCTGTTTCTTAATCTTATTTCTCCACACTTAGTTTGGTTTTCAAAGCCATCTCTGATTCTTACCTGAGCTGCAATTGGTTTTAGGGCTCCATGTACATTGAGGGCTAGGAAAAAGCATTGAATGAAGGCATCATCAGAAAAATATTTTTTTTAGTGGCAGTGTAAGAGTCAAATTAGAGGGCAATGCATAGCTGTGCTTCCCCAGAATACCCCTTCCTCTACTCGTGTCAGCTTTGGACCTTCACAGGTTTTGGGTGGTAATTTTGTATTTAGTGTCTTTTGATAGATTTCTCTTCCCTTAATTTCACCAGCCACTTTTTGAAGTTTTATATACATTTTTTTTACTCTCCAGAAGAGTATTTGGTAAGAGGTCCACATTTTAACTGCATGTGTAGTGAAGCACAATTTGCTTTTGTTCCCTGCTAATTTCACCTGATGTTTCCAGTCCCTCTACAGGAAGACCCAGGGAACTGTTGTTCCCTGCCTGTTTTGATTTTCTAGGCCTCTGCTGAGTGCCCAGCTGGTATTTTGTTGTGCTATTAATTGGAACAGTTACACTGGGAAGAGCATCGACCAAATAACTTCATATAACGGAGCCACTGGTACCACACCAGAAGAAACAGAATACTAAGGGTGACAAATACTGTCGCATTTACTCCAGACAATAATTTTATCTTGGAGAATGCCATCATTGTAAACAAGGCTAGATATGAGATTCTGTATTTGTCTAGGAAAGATGTCGAATGATTCATATACTTCCTATACTGTCAGCTATACTTTTGCTTTGTTTGTTGAGTATTTTAGGAGAATATAGATTTAAAAACACATTTAGAAAAGAGATTTGTGTGGGTTAGAAAAGAAAAACAGGACGAACTGTGGCAAATTTCTATGGAACAATAATTGGCCTTTGAAAGGCCAGGTATGTATCCTTTGTAAATAAAAATAGAAAATGAGTAGGAGAGAAAATTCTGAGGCTTGAGATAGCAGAGCTTCTTTATACAGTATATTTAACACCGTATCACAGAAATAGGAACAGAAATGTAATACAGCAGCATGCTATTAAAGATAAAAATTGGCTATGCAATTACAATAGCTTGAAAGCAATTCCCAAAGATGGTTCTTGTCATGCATCAAGGCAAAATATAATATACCACTGCATGGCATCAGAAAGCGATATCATCTTGCTGTTATTGCATAGTGAGGCATAATTTTCTAGGGCAGAATATTTAGTCCTTGAACCATCTAGTACAAACTTATGAAATTCTTATATTCCTACCTGACTTCAGGATGATGCTGTTGTGCTTGAAAAGATACTTCAGGTTTCTCCCCCAAACTTGTAACTATTAGTAAAAACGATAAGAAGTTATTATTTCGTCTTAAGTGTAACTGACAGTATCTAGCAACTACTGTGAAATAAATTAACTACATTCATAAATGAGGGTGAAGCAGTTCAATAGAAAAACTTAAAAGGCTGCAATCAATCTGGGTTGAATGAGTCAGCTAATGATTTTGGTGGGAAACATTTATCCTAGTAGTGAGTGTTACATGGGGAACATTACAGGGTTTGCTGATGCCAAATATGGCTGAACATAATAGTAAATAATGTAGAATGCTGAACTAGAGGTATGTGGAGGGTTCATAAATCCTTTTTATAGAACAGAATAGGCATTGAATTTATAATGCAGTCAATACTATTTCTTGCTGAAAATCAGGAAACAGTGCCTTAATCCACAAAAGGAAATGCCAGAGGAAATGATGAACTCATTAACATGAACTGTAAACAGCATAAAAGTCACGTAACCTGTATCTACCTTCCAAGTATTTTGGAGTAATGTTTTTCATGGACCTTCATGCACGCATACATAAACACACATGCGCACATGGACCTTCACAGGCACACAGATAAACAGCTTAAGCTGTTTAATAAAAAAACCCTTTCTTTCAAAATTCTCACCCTCAAATTATGGGAGAGCAGCAAGATGGAGAAGAGTGATGTCCTCTGTGCAGATCTCTTTTGGATATTCTTCTCTTGGTTTTTTAGACTCCAACACACTTATTTTTCCCAAAACCTTAAGTTATTTTCTTAGAAAAAATGTGATACCCTGGTTCCCCACATAGCTGTAGCTAAGTCCAAGTTAAGTTCCTTTTTTTCTGCTGCATTTTCCACAACTATTGAGGTCTCTCTAAATCTCTCTGTTCCCAGCAGATCTTGCTTCAGTTGGAATTTTAATGATAGACTATTTCAGTTTTGAAATATGAAAGAAAGACATCAAATTATTATTATATATTAAATACTGACCTTGCTCTCTTCCAGGTGCCTATATGAAATGATAACATAGTAAATATTTTTCTTTGGATTAGTGACTTTAATTTACCCCAATAAACCCAACTATATTTCAGTTTGTCAAAAACCCAGGCTGAATGCTTATGTCAGTCCACTGGTGACAATGAGAACTGAATTTTTTAGAAGTGTAAGTGAACAAATGGTTTATTGCAATGACCACCAATTCATGATGACTATTGTACATCAGTTTAACTTACAATGTGGTTTTCCTTCCTTGGTCTTAATTGACTGGAGAGACACTATCCAAAAAGTAAAATCAGTAATTTCTTTTCAGACTCTGACTGTACAGTACAGACAGTACAATTATTTTTACTGTCATGGCAGATACTTCATTCAAAATCACTGTGTGGAGAGTCTTAATCCATCATATTATGTAACATATAAGTGAATGATACACAGGTTTCTAAAGACCAGAGTTTGACTCATAAACTTTCACTCTATTTCTATATTATTTTGATTCACATGGGAATAGTAATTATTTTGTTTGTTAATTTGATACATGTAAGACTATAAAACATAAATATTTAAGAGAAGAATTGTTGACTCCGTAGATGTTGCACTTTGAGCCTTCCATGTAAGTTGCTTTCCCAATAATGTTTACCCATTACTTAGGAATTCAAAGTCTCATTCAGCTCTAGCCCAAGCTTCTGCTTAAAGCATGGTGAACTGTGACATGAGACCTGTGGTCTCAGACCTTTGACCAGCTGGGTATTGCAAACCTCCCAGAACATATGGTGATTTCACAGCCTCTCTGGGAAACCTGTACCAATACCCTCATATTTAATTTTTCTTCCTTATTTCTGGTTGAAACCATCATTTCAAGATCATTACCTCTTGTACTTCCATTGTGCCTTCTGGAAAGTACCATGCTCTGCCTTCTTTATAATCATCTCTTCAGCAACTGGCTTGCTGCTATTGGGTTCCCCAAGAGCTGCCCCCTCTCTAGGTGAAGGGAGGCCAGCCCCATCAACCTCATTTCACAGGGCAGGTGCTGCACTGGTGACCCTCTGCTGACCCTCTCCTCTCTGTCAGCTTCAGCCTTGTGCAGTACTCCAGCTGTTGTCTAGGGAGTGACTGAGTAAAAGGGAGTAGTCCCTTCCCTTGATCTCTTGTCTATGCTTCTGTTGATACGGCTTGACATGTTGTTGGCCTTTGTGGCCACCAAGGACGTGCCAGTGGCTCATGCTCAACCTTTGGTCCCCGGGTCCTTCTGAGCAGAGCTGTTTCCCAGGGGTTTAGTTCATTCTGGGGCAGGATTTTGCATTTGTCCTTTCCAATTTCAAGAGGCTCCTCTGCACCCTTTTTTCCTGTAGACTGGAGTTCTGGTGAAGGGCACTCCTTCTCTCAAACCTATTGACCTGCTGTTCAGTGTCTGAAATCGTGATAAGGACCTGCTCTTCTCCTCCTCCATGTTGCATCAAAACTATTTAAATGTTCAGATCTATATGAATGGGAAATGATGAATATTTTATCTTTTCCATGCCAGGAGACACACAGTATTTTTCCTTTAAGAAGCAGCCAACCTAAGAGCCTGTTAAGAGCTGCAGTATTTGTGCAGCTGTACAGTGCCTAGACAGAAATGTTAATTAGAGGTGTAAGATATTTATTGTACTTGGGAGTGTTTTCATATTTGTAGTGAGTCAGTATCTAGGACAAGACAAAGCTTTTTGTTTCAAAATATTATCTTTCTTGACAACAGATTAAAGTGTTAATTACAATATTGTTATCAAACCATGTTTTTGTAACTATCTTTCAAACTAAAGGAATTTCTGACCACGAGAGGAGTGATGTTTGGGGCAGCCTCCAAGTCAGAACTGTGGAGAAGGAAAACTCAATGGATATGAAAGTTATAGCTAGACCAGTCTATAGATCTGTGCTACAGCCTACTGTTGGACTTAACTAGTATAGAGATTCCTTTCTTCTGTTTCTTTGCAATGAGAAAAAAAATAAAAAACAATTCAGTAGGAACATGTTAGTGCAGTAAATAAAACACTCAGTAAGAAGCACAAGATGCCATAAGTTATAACCTCTCTCTGAATTTTACAAACAATCTTCGACACTGCATGATTGTAGGGACTGTATCTCTTAATAAGTTTTAGGGAAAACCACTTGTCATAACTAAACTCCCTTATTGCTAAACCCATTTCCTCTGCTTCACTTCCTTAGTCTGAGTAGAAAGTGAAGGAACTTGTTAAAATCTTTTTTACAGAGACAGGGATCTGAAAAAAGTAATAAAAATCACTTGCCTTTACTAGTCTCTGTGTAAAAGTTACTGCTTTCTGCTTTATAGATGCCTATAACTGCATTCCCAGCATTGCCTCTTGGCTTCTGCCCCCTAGACAGAGCCAACTGGTGTGGGGGTCACTGGAGGTGGGACTGCACGTGCTGGGAGATAAGGGGTCAGCTGGGAGGAGAAGGAGTCAGCCTGGAGGTGTAGAGAGGGAGGGAAGAGCCCTTCTAGCTTGTCAGAGAGGGGAACTCAGAGCCGCTACTTCAGGAGTACACTGGGAGCAGAAATGCCTCCGTGGTGCCTGGAGCCTGGCAGTGGAGCTTGGCCCTGGGGAAGGAGTGGGGGAGGAGAGGGGAAATGGAGCTGAGGGATAACAGGCATTGTTAAATCTGGATATAAAATTTGTCTCTTTTTGTTTCTCTTATTGAAAAGGGTCATCCTATTTTTGAGGTATTTATTTTACATTGGTGCTATTACACTCCTCTAATGACCTTATAATTTCAGTCTTCTGCTTTTAAAAATCTATGTGGAATCTATGTTTGTCTGAAGGAGAATGTCTCTCCTACTGCTCACTGTTCATAAGCATCCACAGCCTCTGGCAGTTATGAGAGATGCTTTTATGTGGATAGTTGGGAAGGTGAGTTTGCACTATATCTATGTTTTTATTTCAGGAAACAACTTCGGGAACTTACCTGCCATTCAGAAGGGAGCAGTATTGAAAGTGCAACACATGTTAAAGATCGACATTTTATGATTCAAAGCTAATATAATTCTACTAGTTCTTTTACATAACATACTATTACAAGAGATGCTGTGTAGCCATGGAATGTATATGGTTTTTATGGTCCTGATATATACAAAGATGAATACTTACTTCATTTAGTTCTTTAACAGATAAATGTCTGGAAAAAAAAGAATAATATGCAAAAATTTTAATTATCATAAAATAAAAATCACTTTGAGTACTTAAATACTTTGATTACATTATCACTGAAAACTAACAACCCTTGGCAAGGGAAGGATTTTGTTACTGCTATAGAAGTTCAGAGGCTGGTTATTTTTTTACATAAATTATTTGCAGGAGAAGGTTTTGGAGGAAGGGAATAAGAGAGAGAAGTATCAGCTTTCTTAACACTATTCATCTCATGGCAAAAGGTCTTATTACATACTTTAGAGTCAGCTATAAATGGAGGTAAGTTCCTTGAAGACTGAAGAGTTTCAAAAATGAAACACAGAGGCAGAATGAAAAGTGTAGAAGGGAGGAGGTGAAAACCAGGGGAAGAGGAATGGAGAATGTTCTTCATGGTCCTGAATCAAGTAATTGTTTAGGTATTTTTCTGCCTTCTTCTGATGTGGCTGATCAACAGGAGTATCATCCTTTCCTGGGAAGGAAATATTCTCCCTCCAAAAATGGACAAGTATTGATTCTGACATCTTTTGTTAGATGTTTTGGTTATGGTGAACACTCATGTTTTTTAACATCATGTATCTCATAATAAAAGAGACAGAGGACCAGATTTTACAAGTTATTTAGCAACATGAGATGTGGATAAGCATCTAGTAGTTTTTGAAAAGCCCTGTGATTTAGGCCCTGTTTAGCCTATCTCCTGGACTGAGAAAATATGACAGTGAGTTATTCTGCTAAATCAATCAGAGGGAACACAGAGGGAAGATCTGGTACAGAAAACCCTGAGAGCTATTTTTCAGCTATGAGAAGGGGTCTCTTCATCATGTCTGTGCAGAAAATATCAATCAGCATGGAGGGATAGAGAGGCAAGAAGTTTGGGAATGATCTGTTCAGGCAAAGTTTCAGGAAGGCTAGGGAAAAGGAGAGGAACTGTTTTGCATTTGGATAGTTGCTTTTATGTTAGCTTCTGCAATTTGTTAGCTTGGTCTCCAGGGCCATTACTTCATGTGTGAAAGCCCATATTCAGGGCACTGGGTGCATGGTAAAGTTTAGTGATATTAAAGGTGTGCTTCCAGGGCTGGCCTCTGCCTTGAACAGACATGCCACTTGCACGGCCAGCTTACCACAGGCATGTAAAAGTTTAAATCACACCAAAGCTTCTAAGATGTATTCCAGGATCCTGCACATACCTATTTTTTAATGAAGCTATTTATAGCGTGTATAAATAATGATGTGTTAAATTTTAGAAGTCCTCCAAATCTTGTTGAAAAACAGAACTTGCACTCCTAAATCACATCTGTGGTTTGACAGCTTTGCTTACAGTCTGGTAGATACTGGCTGTATCATTGAACTCCTTCACACTGCAGCTCATGTGTATGTTTTCTCCTTACAAAGCTGTAACTGGACTGAAGTTGGTGGACAAATATTTGAGTGAAGTGATCCTGCGGGAAATTTGTCAACTGCCTTCCCCATATCATGTGTGGTCTTATGCTGTGCCACTCCTTTCTTACTCATATGATTAAAACCCCTACTGCAATAGACATGACATGTATTTATATTACAGAATTTGGCTTTATAATAGGACCTTTCAAATCCAAGTGCTCTGCATACTGATGTCTGCTGACAACATAGATTATAACATTTCTCACAAAGCTTTCGATCTGTGTGCTGCTTTACTGAGGGAGGGGATCAGTCATGGGATTTGGAACTTTGCAGCTCCATGTTAGATCTTGCATTGAATATGAAGCTACTTCACATTAATAAAATGTCTCAGCAACCCACAGCTTTTGGAACGTAATCAGTGAAAAAATTTAGGCACCATTCAGGAAAAAAAACGACCCAAGAACGATACTTAGAGCTCACTCATTAAGTACATGCTTAACTTTAAGCAAAAGATTATTTCCTTGGTTTGTAAGCTTATTTTCCCTCCAAGGGATTTGTAGTCACCTCTGTAAAATGAAGCAAAATTCCATCCTGATGAAATAAAATTGAAATCATTTAAGGAAGGATGGACAGGACTGACACAGCTTCTGGCTGCAATAGGTCTTTGTCAGGATCCATTTGAGCATTATACCCTGTGGGCCCTGGAATTGTGTCATTCCCCTTCCCAGCATGTGTCTGAGCACCATCCCCTGTTAAGAACGTGCATTTTGGTCACGGTGCAAGACCACATGCACACCTGGTTACGTGACAGTGAGCAGTGTGTGTACGCGCTCATCCCACCAGGCACGAGTTGTGCAAAAAGAGCAACCGGACTCAAAACCTGACATATGCATGTGCTTGGTCATACAGCTGGACACAAGCAGCTTGTTCTTCAGGACTTGGCAGAACTCATCCTCACTGCCACGTCAGGATCCTGAATGACCATGGGCATTGTATGACAGGAGTGCAAGACAGAGAGGGCAAGAAACGAATCATAGTCTGAATTTGTTGGCTTCATGGGCTGAAGCCAGATTTTGCCTACAGAGAAGTAATTTGTTTTGCTGAATGTCACATCCTTGGGATGTGGAATGTATTCCTATATCTCTGATGCAGTCAGTGTATTTCCCCATCACTTGATTCACCAACTGTGCTAAATAAGTAGAATTTTTCTGCTTAAAAGTGGTTGCAAGACCTGTAAATGTTATTAAGAAAAAAATAGGACAAACCTTAAACAAAGTATTCTTGAAAGTTCTGCCTACTTTTCTACTCCTTCTTTACTGTTATTTTGTCAGTTTTTTTTCCTAAAAAAATGCCAGTGTCACATTACACTAAATACCACTTCTCTTAATTATTCACAGCTGTCTAAAGAATAATTTCTTAAGTAAAAGCAGAGGTGCAATGGAAGTCTTGCGGTTTGACCAGGGAGAGTGTTTTGATTCTTAGGGAACGAGGATGAGGAATGCACCATACCTTGGGACTTTTGCTGATATTGGAAAAGTGGGAGCTTGGCTGAGCGTGTTCCTCTTGTGAAAGAACTGGCTGCTTATCCTTGGCTCTGGAGGAAGTGGCTGATACTGCTTTGGCAGTGTGTTTGGAGGCCTAGAGAAGTCAAAGGATAATTTGAAGAACTATTACAGAATAGAGGAGGTGGAGGGACTGTGTTGTAAGTTCAAGCTCTAGAAGTAAGAGACTAGAATTTTCTGAGAGCATTTCAATGTATTTTGCTGAGCCAAGCTCAGATCCAGGAGCTCCTTAGGGCCCTTCAATAGCAATAGTAATATTGGATAATATTCTACATTTGCAAGACATTACTGTACTGTGTTATGTGCCATTTAATACTGCTTTTGTGTGCCTCATCAGTATGTGCCAATCACATACAGCTTTCCAGTGTGGATATTTCTGGGTGGGTAGGCCTGTGTATATGGTCCAGCCAGGGAACACACTGCAGTTTGAGACAGAGAGGACAAAATGCTCTTCATCCCAGAAAACTCACAGGTAACATGGGTCTAGTGTTTTCTGCCAGATGTGGGCACCCTCTGCCCATGCTCTGAGACCAGGCAGTCACAGCCCAACTCTGGTTGGAAGCTGTAGCACAAAGAGGCTGGCTGGATAAAACTGGAGGTGCATCCATGGTGCCTGTCAGAACTGCCCTTCAGTTGTGGGCTCCTGGGGAGGGACTGGCCACCATAATACAAAAAGAAATAAACAGTGAAATATTGTAGAATAATGGATTGAGAATGTTCTTATTTTTGCTCTTTTATAATTTTGAGTTTGTGAAGTTACACTGCCCTTTTATGCTATTTCACATTTTTAAAGTAAAATCTGAACACGTAGTGCTAATCATATTTTAAAATTCTTTGTACGTTTTGGGTCGGTCAGTGTAGGCATGTAATAAGCTCGTAAGTCCTAGATGACCTTTTGAAAGGATGTTTTAATTGTAGCAGTTATTTTTTGAAGTTGAAAAGATCAAGAAGCAATTAATTTTTTCTTTGTGGGCATATCATAGTAAAATATATTTGTGGAATAGAGCTTGTTCCACCTTCTGTGGGAGTAAGTGGAAATATTCCAGTTGATTTCTATGGACGTGATTTAGATTTGTAGCAAAAAACATTGGCAGAATGATTTAAGAGGGTCACAGTGAACAGAGCCTAAGGCACCAATCAAATTGACGGAAGATTTTTTTCCTAGCAATTTTTATGCAGGTTGAACCAGATTCAAGATTTCTAGGTTTTTGACTTGTCTGTAGGCAGAGCCAAATTGATTATGAAAATGCAGGCCTGAGATCCTCCTTACAAACACTTACAGCTCATGTTTTGTTCTCCCTAATTTCACATCAGAACCTGTAAGAGTCCAAAAAGTGCCAGGCAGTAAAAGAATGCTGGCTCGCTTCCAGTCACCTAATTATCATGGGCAGTACAGATGGATGTGAACGTTCCTTGGCACTGAGTTCCCCAGGGATCGAAGGCAGGAAATCTCTTATGTGATCTTACCGTGGGGGAGGCACAGGTTCCTGGAAAAGAGGAAACAAAAATCCCTGTAAACTTTTTTCCTTGGTTGACTAGAGAGAAATGTGAAGAAGTTAGATTAAGTAGACATGCCCATGTTAAGAGTCAAGGGGTTTGTGTGCTCTACAGCACAAAATATCATGCTTTAGCATGCCATTTTAAAATCACTGAGGAATAAAAGACACCTACATAAACCATGAATGCAAGTAAGTGAGATAAGGTAGGACTGCAGATATGAGTTCTCTTATCCTTTAGTTAGTGCCAGCAAAATGGCAGCCTGCTTTTAAAAATCTATTAAATGGCAAAATGACCTATAAAAATTTTAATTGATGAGAGATTCTGCTTACCTGGTGTCCCTGTATTTTCATTCTTCCTCCTAAAAATAATTATTAATAATTGTTAGTAGGGTGCTACTCACATAATTCACAAATTAAGTTATAGCTTTATTCTGTTATTGTTATTATTACTGGCAGTCCAGTCCCATTCCTTGCACTCCCCCAGCTCTACCTCCAGAACTCTTTGCTCTGGCTTTCAGAATGAAATATTTGAGGGTGATATTTATTCAGGTATTGTAAATTTAATTATTGTTTAATTATTGTTCAGAGACTTTATATGCTTATCAGATTTGGGATGCATTTTTTGTCTGTCTTGATTTTTCTATAGAAATTAATAAGAATATTGAAAAACAATGAAAGTAAATATACTTTTTTGTTTTCAAATTTACCAAAATATGTCTGATTATTTAAATTGTCTTGCTAATAAAAAATATTTGTACTATATTTTCATTAGATTTTGATATTGAAAATATTCTCCTAAGTTTTACTTGCTGAAATCCTAACTAATGTAAAGGAGATGCAATATATCTCAAGCTCTCCTTTAAGTAAACCATAACAATTTGGTCTAACTAAAATAATGGTACCTTAAGTGTTTAACAATTCTAAAAAATACTCTGACAAAAATTCTTCTGTGCTGTTTATGCCATCTTGTGGCAAGGCCTCTTAATAGCACTGGGCATGAGAATAAACATTAAGATATGTTTATTAACAGTGTAGTCATTATCTAAAAATAATAGCATCCTCTATAAGCACTGTTGCTCAGGATGTATTAAAAATACTTATAAGTTGCATTCTCAAACTACAGAGTTTAATTTGTGTGCCTGCACTGGCTTTGGTTCATCTTAACATCAGCACACATCACATGGAGGCAGACAAGCATGTAAATCCAACCTACTAAATCCTGGTGGAATTCAGAGTTTTAGATAAACTGGCAAACTGTCCTTGTTTACTGATTTCTGCAGATTTTGAAGCTGGCTTACTGGAATTTATCTTATTTCAGATGTTTTTTAATCTACATCAAGATTTGTACACAAGAGTCAATCTAATCTTTAATTTTCAAACTTTGTAGTGTTTACTTTCTCATAAACTGTAGGAATTATTTGGATCTATGTTTTGCATTATAGTATGAAATAGAAGGGGGAAAAAAAGCAAATTCTGTTTTATATGGAAATCTTTGTGTTATTTTTCTGGCTGATCAATTGCAATACTTACTTTCTAAAAATCAACTGTTGAAACAAACACAGAAAGGATCATATTTTCTTGGCTTGGCGGTTGCAGTCCTTTTGACAATATTTAGCTTACGGCTCAAAGGTTTGAAAATGGTAAAAGAAAAAAATATTCCTTTTCAAAGCTAATCAGATATTTAATCCTTCAGTGGTTGACTTCATGATGTACTGCTACATCAAAGTATATGAAATATAAAAAAGTGTATAGAAACTACTTTAAAAATAATGTTATGATTGAGTAAAACCATCAATCAGAGTATTTAATATTTGGACACTTCAGTAGATTCTTGAAGAATAAGATAGCAATCTGTCTGTGATTTCACCACAAGAAACAAAACAGGACAAACAAAAATTAAAGGTACATTTGATTTTGAAGCAAATTTGCAGTTAAAGGTAAAGCAGCAGAGAAAAAATATATTCTAGGTGATGTAGCACACAATTAACATGTGCTTAGTAGGTGAACATTGTCAGACAGCCTTTGTAAATAACTACCCTAGGATGTAAACCTAGTAGGAATTGCTGAAGTTGATACTGCTATTTAAAAATTGTTATTAGGTTAGCTTTTACAATATATTCATATGAAATGTCTGAGAAGCATAGGGAATGAAAAAACATGAGATCGCGAGGAGGTGAAGTAAAGCTTAGCAGTCACAGCCTTTGGTGGAGGAATTCGGGAGACATAGGCTTCCCCCTGTCCCCTTATGTCCTTATAATATAGGAAAAGGAAAATCTGATTTTTAAATTGATTGGCTGCTTTTTCCTACCCCTTGAGGAACAGGGAGCTCCTGAGATAAAACATATCTCCTTCTGTAAATAATTACTTTGATGTTAGATAGTTGAAACAGTATTGCAAAATTTGCAGTATGATTATTTGGAAAAGCAGCTGCTGTTCTGAAAACCCTGTCTATTCTATCATCTGCAGTCTCTTCCTGTGTACAAAAGATAAATATGGAAGTAACAATTTCTATTTCTATTTGCAGAAATGGGTAGATTTTTTTATTTTACCTCTAACACATGGCACTCTCTGCCCCTCCGGAACAGATGTGTGAATCTGTTAATAAAACAAAGTAAAGATGTGATGTTAGTCATCACCCTTGAAACTCTGTCTAGTAGAAGGGTTGCTGCTCCTGTCTGGGATGCCTCTAATACTTTAGAGGATCCCTGCAGCCAACAAGTGAAGTCAGTGGTGAAGGCATCAGTGCAAAGTGAAACAGGAACGGCTCACAGGAATGTGTGTGCCCTTGTGCGAGTGAATTTTATATGGCTGAGACTTTAAATAGACTGCACTTAACTTTAAAGAATATTAAAGAAAAGGGGAAATCTGTTTGTGAATAAGGTTTAGTATCTATACTTACAGTTGAGTATTGAGGGGGCCGAGATGGGTGCTCGCTCATTGGGGAAGTGGAACCTGAAGGCCTTAAACAACGTTTATCTGTAAAAGAGGAAGAAAAATCAAGCCTGAGTAATTCAGTACTATGAGGTTTTAAGAAGAAGAGGTTTTAATGTTCAAAATATGCTTTTCAGATCAGGTCTTGCCATTTTTATAGCATTTTAAATTTTCCTGTTCAAAATTTAAATGTCGTTTTAGCAGCTGCATTAGGACAGAAGCATGACCCTCATAAGAGCTTCATGCTTAACCTCCTCACTGTGGTTAAAGAAAAAGCCTTCATAAGACGGTACACAGTTAAGGCAGACATTTAACCTTAACTGTGATTACAGGAAAAAAGCAGCTTTTTATTTAATGTGTTTTATCTGAATTCACAAAACAAAAATTACATCTTTTGGGTATTTCAGGACAGTCTTACATAGGCAACATAAGATGCTGACTGCTGACTGAAAGTTTTTACTACTAACTAAGACAAAAGCAGTATTTGGAATTCAGATTTCCAAATAAAATGTGCAAATTAGTCTTTGGAACATAATGTAGGATATCTGGATGTTCAGACTGATTGTGATCTGCTCACACACTGGTAAATTTACTCACTTTAAAAGCCATCTATTTGTTTAGACATCAAACAAACTCCCACAAAGAATCAGTAGATAAATCTTTGCTGACTTTGATGTGAACTGGAGCAAGCTTTCATAATATATTGATCCTGTATTTTCAGATATCTTTGGTTTCTGGTTTCTATTCTTCCTCATCTAGGATTTCCCTCCAGTTTTTTAATGATTTAAAACCTCCATAAATTGTTTGTAATGGCTTTGAGCAATGGATAGCTATGATGATATTTCACATCCATAAACAGGATATTAATTAGCTCTGTATGTTAGGGCATTTAAATTTGTTTGGGCATTTTAGTAAACCAAAAGGGGATTAATGAAGCTATCTTGCAAGGTTAAGAATGCCTGAGAAATACACACAAAGCAATTGCTTACTACAGTTACTGAAAGCAGCAGAGAACACCTTTGAAAGGGTACATTTCTTCATCTGCAAATTATCATCTGGAGGGAAGTTTCATGTGTTCTTTAATATGTTTTCCATCTTAAAAATTTCTAGGTTTAAATAGCAGTGAGCTTTTCTGAAACAGTTGTGAGTTTTATCAGTCAGGTTTTTTGCACATTCAAGGTGGAATGGGATAATAGAGTTTCTCCCATGAGGGTAATATTAAAATTAAAAAAAGAGTATGTAATTATTTAACGTAATCTAATGGAAATAAGGGTAACTTTTGAATTTGAAGATGCAGACAAAACTCTTCTCTATTTCTGCCTACCAGTGTTATATTTCAGTTGAACCATTTAATTCTAAAAGATATCCACACTGAAAACCCTGAGTCTGTACTGCTCCTACATATGTCTAGGTTTTTCTCACTTTCCACAGACAGAAGTTACCTGCATATTCAGATTCTTGTAGAGGTTTGGCAGGAAGAATTCTTAAAGCATGGATGGCCTGCAGAGTGGAAGAACTTATGGTCTCGTAATCATCCTCTTCCTCAGATAACTTGGGGGAAGACTGTAAGTCAGCCCTTCCCTTCATTGTCAAATATTTGCTCTGGACAGAAGAGATATACAGATAATATAATTAAGGTCAAGATTAATTTCAGATTTGGAAATATCTGATTACCATAACTAGATATTTTGGTACACAGGAAATTTTCTGATGGAAATGGAAGGGTTGCAAAGTAGTTGAGCAAGTGCTTTGAGTACCTAATTTTTTTAAATTTAGATTGATAAAATAGCCATTTGGGAGGCAGTTTAGATGTCTCTCTGAATTTTGCCTGTCTGATCTTGAAAATATAATGATAGTGTTTAATTTTATGATAACTTGAAATTGTGTCTTTCATTATAGTATTATCCATGTGGTATTTATATTGTACTGACTGTTTACATATGTTACTTGCAAGAATATATTAACTAGCTCATCACAAATGTGACACTTTAAAATAAAACCATGCAGTGTTTTGGGGAATTTGTGCTAGAAAATGTGCAGTCGAAGTGAATGCGATAGCAAGTATGTATTGAACAGTGAAATCCATAGAATATGATGCTGAGAGTGATTCAGGATGTCTCTGCATGTGTCTATACACTTGTACTAGGTTTGTCCAAGATTATTTTCTGGAGTCCTGCTCCACCCTTCATACTCACTGTTTACATGCTGGAACACAATTGCTGGCTTCCTTCAGCGCAGAGCTGAGATTGCTGCCGAGTGAACTCAGCTGAGGGTGCCCCGAGTCTTTGTAAGTCATATTTTGCTACCAGCAATATATAGTTACATCATGCACTTGGATCTTCCCTGATGGTTTTTTTATTCTCTTCTTGAACTCACTAACAATGGGGAATCAATAGCTTCCTGAGATGTCTTCTTCTGCTAGTTAGCTGCCCTTTCAGTTCATGCTTTTTCTCTTGAGTGCTAAAATTTAAACCAATTTGTTTTACCCTCCAAGGACGCTAAAAAAAATTGATTACTATCCACTTTATTTCAACCTTTTTCATGCTAATGCCTATAATTATATTTCCTTTTAGTCTTCTCACTAAGCAAATATGCTTCTTGAAAGCTTTCCTGAGTTGTCAACCAATTTAAGAGATTTTGAACTTCATCAGGAAAGTGTTACTTTCCTGATTGTACACATCTCTCTCCAGGTTGTACACATTTTTGTTACAGCATCAATCAGACCTCCAAGAAGTGTTCTTGACAGTACATGGCAGGATTTTTGTAGCAGCACATAAAAAATACCACCACACCCTTGAGAGACCCCTGCAGGGTATCTGGCTTTTCAGGCTCTTCTCTGCACATCTCTCTAGTTCAGTAGCAGACTACTGTCAGCTAGGCTGAGGGTGACTGTTTTTTTCAATCAGTTGTGCAAACACTTCATGCATTTTCATCTAGACCAGGTTTCCAGGTATCTGCTTGTGAGACTGTCTTCTGGGAAATGTCAGAGGCCTAACAAAAACCAAGATATATCACATCTACTGTTTTCTTTCTTGCTACTGTGGTCATATTTCTGCTGAAAAGGAAATTACTTTTGGTTTGAGGAGTTGATGAGATGTTCTTCATGTTCACATTAGCAATTATTTTACATGATCAGACCTATTATTTCCAAAAGATCCTTTCAGATTGACTTTGTTTAGTAGTCTCTGCAGGCTTTCTCATAAGAAATTGATGTTACCACTGTTCTTTTTCAGTACTTTAGGAACTCAGGACTCCTTGGAGAGTTCCCAAAGATAATCAATTAATGTCTCAGAAATTTCTTCAAATAATTCCTTAACTGCCTTAGCATAAGTAAATATTCTCCTGACTGTTCTTTCCCTGTTCTGCTCTGTGCTATTGCTCCCTTCTGCTTGATATTAATCCCATATAGCATCTTATTATTATTAATCTTTCAGTGAAATATAAAGCAATCAAAGTATTGATTCCATCAACCTTCTTTAGTCAAAGTTTACTTGTCCATCTTGCTTATTAAGCATAGACCTGTGCTTCATTTTTGTCTTTCTGTGATTTAAAAGGTATTTACACTCTTATACGTCTGAACTGAAGCTCAAAACCAGCGTTCAGATAAAAATGGGAAGACATTGAAATGTGTACTGTTGGCTTTTAGGCTTTCATCTGCATCAGTTACATATTAAACCTTGAGGTTTATGACTTATATACTTGTTCAACTTCACTCCTGTTATTTTCACATGATCTTATGTAAAGGTGTATTTTAAATTCAGCCCATAAATGGAGAACTGACTAGTGAGTGAGTCACTTCTCCAATCTAGCGCATACATATGTCAAAATACTCATGCTTTATTTTGCATTAGCAAACGGTGACAATTGCATTTTCTGTTACTAGCATTATAGCCAAGACAAGATTAACACATGCCAGGAAGTGTTTTACAATTACAATTACAAAAGTAAAATTTTAGGAAGAACAGTGTGGTACTTACAGAATGATAGGTGTTATCAGGAATAGTTCTTCTGGTTTCTGTATGAAATGGAGAATAACTGTCAGCAGGTCTCATTCTGTAGAAAATGATACACTAATAATTTATCTAACAGAATAAAAATCTGCCAACTGCACAGTATTTTAGAGATACTGAAACAAAGGAGATTAAGCAAATCCACCCGTGAGTTTGTTGACCTATACAATGCATGAGGAAGTAGCTGTGTGGAAATGGAATTCACAACCATAAGCACATCTAAGCCTGCCTACCAAGAACACCCAAAAAAGGATGTGCTTGAACTCCTCTCTTTCTCCTGAGTGTTGCTGCTTGGTGCAGAACTGTGAGAGCTCACCATGGTGAGGTTGGGGATCCTGATCTGGAAATCCCTTTGTGAATAGAAATGTGTCTTGTTCCCTTAGCAGCAGAAGAAAACCCCAAAACTGAGAACACTCCAGCTATCAGGCTATAAACTTTTCTCAGTGGTGTCTGTCTGCCCACAAAGTTGTCTAATGGCACAACCAGGAGAGTACAAGGGCCAAAGAGCTGGTGAACAGGAGAGTGAGTTCACTTCAGAAGAGACTCCCAAGTTCTGCACTTAACCTGATTTACACATTTAATCCAGTGACTATTTAATGCAAAACAGCCATGGTATGACCTTGCCCAGTACTTGCTCTTGTTTTGGACTGTTGCAATCCTTTCTTACACTGCCTGTAACCTCGCAAACCTTGCATCTGTGGCTACGTAATAGCTTGATTTCCAAAGTAGAACATGAAAGTCCTTCTATTAAGACTAATCAATAACATATAATTAAAACATGCTCTAATACTTTGGAAAAAGGGAGAATTGCACACTGAAGGGCTTTTGTGTCAAGGAGAGAGTTAAAACCAAATCTACTTCTTGTCCAGGGGTTGTACCTTGGTGCTGAAATGTACTAAGGAGAGGCAGTATCCCACAACCCTCCCTTACAACTGTGTTTTGAAAGAAGACTGCTTGTGCCTGAACACCCTTTTTACATTTGTTGCTCTTGTTCTGTAAGCCTGGTATTGCATATTTTTGTATACCCCAGCAGATGGCATTGAATGTTCATTTATTTAATACATGCAGTACTTTAATCTCTGCTCAGTGTCTTAAATTGTAGCCTTTCTACTTCTGTTAATAAAAAAAAATGGTTGTTTTATTCTCAACAATAAAAAATTAATAACAGTGGTAAACATCAATGCCATTATCCACTCATTTCATGGCTTAATGCTGAAGGGGGACTGTTTGACCCAAGGCTTTGGGGTGATGTATTGCTATTCAATACCAGTTTACAATTTGACGCCCAAGTTAGTTTATAATCTATTCTGTTGTGAATGAATCAGTGGAGTTTGGAGGAACTCCAGCCCTCCTTCTCCTTTTCTTCTTACTCCTCCTTTGCACAGGGCCAGTGAAGGGAGCAGCACTGGTGCTGCTTTCCTGTGGGTGTGCCTTTTACGTAAAGTGTATGCCCAAATATTTACTCCATGCTATCTGAGGAGTGCAAACCAGCTAGAAACCGCTCCTCCTGATATTTAAGAATGTCATTTTGGAAGTGAAGATGAATATCTCACTCTCTCCGCCTTGCTGTACATAACAGGCTTTCAGAATGAAAAGTGCTGCAAACTGTCCAGGCAGTAGAAGAGGTACTGTTGCAGAGGCTCACCATCTAGGGGGAGACTATTTCTGCTGTCTACTATATATAGATCATCCTGGAACATCCAATTTATTATAGAATCATAGAATAGTTGGAGTTGGAAGGTACCTTTAAAGGTTATCTAGTTCAACCCATCTGCAATGAACAGGGACATCTTCAAATTTTCTCACTTCTGATGCACTGACTGTTGTAAAGGGATGAAAGAGGACAGAATCTTTGTTGCAAGTTGTTGCAATCAGCTGGACCTTCTGGCAAAATTTTTTTTTCACTGCAATCTAAAGACTTAGAGCTGGCATGGGTTAGAGTCTCCTCAAGCTATAGGAACTGGTCGTATTTTATTCAGTCTGAAAATTTTTTGTTGCTTTGCTACATTTTATGTGAAACTAATAAATAGAGAATATAAATTATAACACTAGGAAGGTGTTACATTGCTATGGCATATGTGTGGGTGTGTTTCTTCCAGTTGACAGAGAATGCCTGATGTCAAGGCACAAAATGGAAAAAATTAACTTCTCTTTAATTTGCAAGGGAATAAAACAATGTGTGCATTTTGTGGCAACCTTGCTTGCTTTTCATAGAGACCTAAAAAAATTCTGTTTAAAAGGGTGACAGGTTAGCAATTTATACAGGAAAACCCAACATCAGAAACAAAGCCCTTCTTTAAATGAGAAAGCAGAAGGTAAATCTGTTCCCGTTGGTTTCTGTGAGTCTATGAATGCACAGTGGTTTTTTAGTCACTGTGGTGTCCCAGCCAGTGTTGGGAAGCGATAAAGTATTGTGGCTTGTGTTTTAATAAACACTGTTATCCTGACAGAGTGTCTCCTAATCACTTCAGTAGAAAAAAACCTGAAGCTGGAAATGCTGCAAAGAAGAACTGCATAGGCCTTTTCAGAGTCACTTTTTTACTGTCTGGTCCAAAAGTATGGTGCAAAACCTTGTCCTGCTGGAGTATATAGGCATCTTACAATCCATCCTAATGTTTATAATATTACAATGTTCATGTCTGCCACACCTTGCACGTAACAAACTATTACTGGCTCTGAGTAATAAGTATGCTAGATGGACATGCTATAGGTACATCCTTTTTCACCGCTGAAAGAATTTTACCTTTCAGAAGTATATCTGGATTCATTGCTTCACATATGTTTGGGCTAGATCTAAATACATAAACAAAGAAAAAAACCATCAACTTCATTAAATATTAGGAATTACCATTGTTCTATAAAAGCGCTCAAATATTTCAGCTCAAATGAATGAGTGGAAGCTGCAAGGATAAGAACTACAGTTGAGAAATGACTGGGCAAATTTGGAATTTCAACAATCTTGGGTCAAACCTTATATTTTTGTTCACTTTCAGCCCCAAGTTTGGTGCAGTTACAGAGAGTGCTACTCATTTTACAAATATTCATTTCAGACATAAATATCATAACAGCCTTATTGATACTTTAATATATTCAGCGTGATGTTGAAGGGATGAGTTTCCATAGGGAGATAGGAGCTAAATCTCTCTTTTTTCATGCAGCTGTGCCACTGCACATGGCTCCCTTCCAATTCTACCAGCCAGCAAAATAAGTATAACATTTTCCCTAGTCCTGATGAGGTATTGTTCCATCCTGCTATTACTCTACCACAGAGAATATGGGAGATATATTGGGTGTGAAAGAACCATATAAATAGATCTTGACCTTAGGCCTTACTCTGGTGTTGGTTGTCTCACAGTGACCCTCTTTACCCACTTAGCTCTGTATCAGCCTGTCCAGTAACATTTGTGGATCATTGCAGTAGAAGTACTTAATATTCAGAAACAACACCAAGAGTTATTTTGCAATGAAGATGTGGCCAGGGATCACATTAAGATTGCATTAATGCACACTTGTTTTATCTATATCTAAGCATCCACCCTTGGAATTGCCCAAAGTTTTGGAAATACCAGCACAACCATCTGAGTTTCAACTAGCCCACTCTACAATTACAAAATAATTTAGGTTAGCAGCAACTTTTAAACACAGAGTGAAGCTGAGTGGTTTCCTGTTCAGTGAGCAGGCTGTAGACCGCACAAGTGTACTAGAGTGTGTGATTATAGCATGGACACATCAATCATAAAACTTTTACTTATGTTACTTGCCAGTGCTTAAAAACGGTAATTTATTTACTTACCTAATTTTTGGCAAAGCTCTCTTCCTGCTGTTTGTATCTGCTGGGCTATGTACTACTGTTTTCCTGTTGGCTCTGCCAGAATTGGACAAAGTTTACTGTTAGTGAGTGGCAGTAAGTGGGGAAGAAATGCAAGTGCAAGCAGAGCTGATAAAGTAATTTTCAAAACTGGGAAATGCATATATGTAAATGTTTCTCTTCCTCTCTTCCTCAAACATTTTCGATCTATGAATATTTTCCTGACTTTTTTGTTTTCAGCTATTTGAAAAAAAGAACAACTGTTTCCTGCTGAGAGAATGAAAAGCTGGAAACTGAATTCCTGCATCCAGTGTTTTGGTTACTTTAGAATAGGGTACTTATTCATTTCAACTGAATAGGAATTAAAACCCAGGGAAACCTACCCAAGATCTTTATTGCTACTAAAGTAGTTGCTAAACACCAGTGATGTAGCTAACAAAGCAACAGAGCTCAGTTCTCTTGGCCTCTCTACTTCTGACTACTCTTGAGCCCCTTTTAGAAACAGAACTCCATATTTCACTCATGTGAAATAATAGTGATCTGTAAATCCTCAAAATAAAAACTGAGATGATTTACACTTTTACCATTTGACTAGCAGAGACTTCAGTGTTTGCACCAGAAGAGTTAGTATTACCTCACTGAATAATTCCTACAGATTGAAATGATGGTCATGTCCTTTTGGACACAGTCTTGCCCAAATTCATTTAAATTCATAGATCCTATAATCAGTGTTGTCAAATCAGGTTTCAGTTTTTCTTTATAAACATGCCCCCCAAACCTATTTAAAACAGAACAAATTAACAAAGAAACAAACACCAACATCTCCCCCCTGCCCTTTAATAAATATTTAAATGTGCACATTGCTAATTTTTTTTCTGTCTGTATGGAAATACTAAGGGGCACAAATGCAAAGATGCGAATTTTAGAAGGATGTCAAGGTATGATTTTATTTTCAGCTGTGGATTTAACAGGAGAGGTATGCTTGAGTAGTTGCTACAGCTATAGAGAATTTTGGTTAAATGGTTAAATCTGTACTACTGAGTCATGTCTCTGGAGCATGGGGAATATGAACAAGTAACCAATTTCTGTCATCACTACGCTCTTTATTAGTCATGTATAATTTTTTCTGTCTTTTAAAAAATTAATTTCATTCCTTGCAAAACCCTTCACCAACTCCTCCAAGGCAGTCTGTATTCCAAATGCAAAAAGGCTATTGCATATGAGTATTATACAC